AGATGTAAAGGAGGGAATCAACTTATAGGCTATGTTTTCAGAAGTTTTACATCTTTTACTGCTGATAAAGACCTCCTACGTGGCCATTCACGCTAAACTAAAGGAATTAACTAATAGATAAATAATTAAATGACAGAAAAGTTAATGTTTTTTGACATCTTTTGAAATTTTGGTGGGAAAAAAAGAATATTTTCTGTGAATTAACAAAAACTTTATTTTATAAGTACAGGACAGTCTGGAAAAAGAGCTACTGGAACCTTTCTGTAATTTTATTTTGGTGAAAGATTGAGACATATTGTTGAAATGTTTCTTCTTTGTCTCATTGTAAGTTTTCTCAGGGATTTAAAGTGTAGCTAAATATATTAACACTGACAGAATGGGGTGTTTTTACTACTCGAGCCAAACTGGGCCGTATTTGACCCACAACGTAAACTGATTTTGACATGCCTGTCTTAGATTATTTTTTTTGGTAGGTTCAGTAAAATGAAAGATCTGAACTCAGCCTGCCAGTCTCATATTTCCTCAGGACATTGTTAGTCTGCTCCACAAACTTCAACACACCGGGACAGAGAAGGAGGCACACCTGAAGGCCTTGAGTAAAGTTCTGCGCGACCCAGCTGCACAGCTCACCTTTATCAAGTATGGTAGTGGCTTCTGTTGCCATATTGGAAGAGACTAAATTACGCTGTCACTTTTAAGTCACTTCCTCATCTTTGTGTGTGAAACTGTGTTTTCTTTCAGGCACGAGAACAGTATGCATCTGCTGGTCGGCCTCCTCACTGGCTCTAATGCTCAGTGCCGCCTGCAGGCCGTTCGGTGTCTTCACGAGCTCTCTCACTCTTCCCACACTAATGTGGCTCCAGCCTGTCTGCCTGCTACCCCTTACCTGCTCACTTACCTGTCTGGCCCAAGCACTAAGTTTACAGTAAGTCACCATGCAGTGCAGGCAGTTTGTGATATAGTATGACCTACAATGCAGAAGACTTTTGACTTCCTTATTGTGCGGAACATTATATGTACACAGGAGCTGTGTCTCTACACACTTGGTAACATGTGTCCAGACAGCAATGTGGTAAGAGAGAAGCTCCTGGCTCAGGGAATCATTCCCGCTCTGGCCAGCTGTATAGAGGTAAACTACGAAGGCTCACTGTCTACACTAATATCCTTACTGTACTGGCAATTCGTAGAATTGTTGCAGTTGAATCCAAATCTACTCAAACATCCGATTCATAGAGAGACAGGAGTGTGACTGCTACACATCTTTGTAACATGGTACTCTGTATTTGTCCAGAACCAACGGCACACACTTGCAGTAGTGGAAGCTGCAGCGTTCACCCTCTCTCAGCTTCTCCAGGCCAGAGACGCACCTGAGAAGATAATCCCGTAAATATATCAATAATGCACTTCTTCACGTCTTCAGCCTCTGCATTCCTCATCTCGCAGAAAATGTCAGTGTAATGTTTTGTTCACATTTAACCTTGTTGTGTTTTTTTGTCTTCCTCTGTGTCTGTAGGATAGTCCTGAAGTCTACCTTGCCTTCACGCCTGTTATCCGTCCTTACCCCCGACCCACAGTTCGGCCTGGCTCCTGCCATAGAGTGTGCATGGTGTCTCCATTACCTCATATGCAGGTGAGAAGTTTAGGAAAGTGTCCAAAACCTTTTTGGGTTTTTTGCTGATTTGCTATTGTAGGTAATTACTGAATCTGTTTTGTGCCTTTTATTAGCACAGATGATAACAAAGAGCTGCTGGCTCAGGGTGCCCTGTCACAGTGCAGCTCCTTGTTAGTGTCACTAGGTGGTGCTGTCACCGAGGGAAACAAAGAAGATGGGATTGAGCTGGTATGGAAGTGAATGATCAAATCCACTATTTACTTTCAAAACTTGTTAAGACTTTTTTTTTACTTTTAAGCAAACAAATTTGATAATTATCATTGAATTAATAATGTAGATTAGTTCATTTCATGCTGAGCTACCTCCAAAGATAGTAAAATGACTTAATTATTATTAAAAGTCAGTTGAAGAATCTAGGAACTGAAACAAAACAGCAACATCGCATATTTGCCTAAGCTTCAGAACAAAGTAAAAATAACAACTTTAGTTTTTAATCTGACTTGGATCACAGAAGCTTTTAATGTGTCTTCTTCAGCTCATCTGGCCTCTGTTGAGGTGTGTGGGAAACATCTTGTCCTCCTGCCCGGAGGAAGACCTGAATGCTCAACTGACTGATGCTCATCTGCCAGCTTCTCTGTGTGCACTTGTTCAAGCCTACCTGCACACCCTGCCAGCCTTGGCCAGAGAGACCGTCTGGGTCCTCAACAACCTCACAGGTATGGCTCTCTTGTTTTAGTCGTCTCTGAATGGGACTGCAGCCACACAGAAGTACACCTCATCATTACTAATAGAACTGTTTTGCAATATATTTTTCCTGCTTTGCTGCAGTTCAGTATAGATTTGTGCAAGAAAACATTGTATTTTTTTTTTTTTTTGGTGTAACTATTCAATCTATTCAAATACTGAATAAAATGCATGTGGCTGCCTTGTGCATTCTCTGTGCACATCTGAGATTTGATGCATCATAATTATCAGGGTTTTCTGTAGTGTGTGTAGCGTGCCCCATTGTGTTTTCTACCTCTCTCCATCCCAGCTCACTCCACTGAATTCTGCTCCGCCCTCTTGACTCTAAACTTGGTCCCAGGATTGATCCAACTTCTCCCATTTTCTCAAGGCATTAATACTATGGTTAGTACTATGATTGATATAAGTGCTTCTTGTACTATAAAGTCATTGTGGCATATAAAAAGAAATGTTGTGCTTTTCTCTTGCATCCTTTTGGATGGAAAAAAAGTGTTTTTTGATTTTGTGTTTTTGTTGTTTTTTTGTTTTTCTTGCTTGTTACACTCAGATTCTCAGGATTCTGGCTAATATTGCCCACAAGAAAAAGGAGTTCTGTGTGCAGCTCATGCAGCTTGGTTTACTGTCTGCACTCTGTGCCACGCTTAAAATGGCTGATCAGGAAATGGTGATTCAGAGCCTGGACATCCTGTTCATGATGACTGTCAGCAGTCCAGTGGTAAGTGTGGTAATCAGTGAAACTAAACTCTGTAATGATTGCTAAGCTGTGGCATGATGTGGTATTCTTCTTCTTCAGGTGGCAGAGGAGTTTGTCAGGCAAGATGGGCTTTCACTGTTGGAGGTCCTTCAGTACAATGGTGCAGCAGAGATGAGACAAAGGTCGACGTACCTCCTGGAGAAGCACTTGTTGTCCTACCAACAGCATATAACAGTAAATGTTATGCAGCCTTATTGTCTCTGTTGAATTTTTTTTGTAGTTTTTAGTTAAAAATGTCTGATGGGAGCTGCTGTCTTGCAGGTGGACAATATGCCAGATCCTTGAATCAACAACAAGACTTGTTGTGTTAGGAGGGCCCAGCTGAGGATAACAACATGTTTACATTTTGATATGATAGATATCAAACTTGTTTGTGTATTTGAAGTAATTAGTGATAAAACTGCTGTCTTGTATGTTTTTACTCATGGAATTTTAATCTATGCAAATATTAAATATTTTTATAATACTTGTACTGGTGAAGTACTTTTGCATAAAACTGTATTTATATTCAGATATGGCTTGACATATTTCGAGATGTTAAGATACTGAAGGTGGAACATATAACATTAGAAACATAATGTGTCTTTATCAACAAGACCTTGTCATCATGCCTGTGTAACGATTAAATAATTATGACATAATAAAACTCTTCCTTACAACAAATATGACTGCTGCTTTTTTTGGAGTATTTGCTGTTTGGTTTGATTTTTATTAAGAAACATTTAGTTACATTTAATCACAAAAAATCTTGGGACTTTTACATGCGATGCTGATCATTAGTGAGGGCAGCACAGACCGACCCAAAGTGGTGGCACTGCTATATGTATGTATGTTAAAAACAAATAATCAGAAGTTGATCATTGTGATTGCTTCAAACTGCTGTTTAAAGCTGAAACTTGTAGAGATGATAAATATGCCCAATTAGAAAGTAATTTCAATAATGATAAAAAAAAAGAAAACATTAATGCAATCTGAATCCGTAATGTAAATAATTTTTAAAAAAGCCTCACTTAAAGACTTTAAGTAGGTAAAGTTGTTGTTTTTTTATGTACACCTGCTTACACTTATAACACAGTCAGTGTGCACAGACCTCATGGAGATTTCACTGACCACACTGTGGAACAGTTTCAGCCTGTAACTTCCAATCAAAGTCTTTGGCTCCTCCCCTTAATGAAAAAAACTGTCTCTTTCTCTTTCTACCCACAATAATCCCTTCCCGTTATCTTTCACGCTGCTTTTGCTGCATGAAAATCCAAGACGAGGTGAGTAAGAAGGACCATTGGGGCCAAATTAATACAAAACATATATTGCTGAAATTGAGAATAAAATCAAAATTTGGACATCAAGTTACATAATGTTGTTTTGAGGAGGGAAAAAGTTAAAATACTATTTTGAGGAAAAAACTGGAAATGTGGAGATTACAGTTGTTGTTTCATGAAAGACTGCCATATTTGTTATACCCTTTACAGAATGCCTTGTTTAGATGAGTTAGAAGGACACATTGTTCTGCCGTGTTTTGATAGAATACACAACACGTTCTCACTCCCAAACACTTCCCTAGATTACGAGATCGGAAAAATTAAGAAACATGAGAACAGTTTGGAATGAATCTACACATATGCGTTTATTTTACTTAAATCGCTTTGGAAAACACTAACTTCTTTAAAGTGCTGGTTAAGGTTCGGGATAAGGTTAGGTCAGGAACGCCTCTGGACTTGACAAATCGTCACGCGTGAGAACGGGCTGACATACCTCCTCTCTGTTACAAGAGGGCGTAACCACCTTTAGTCTCTCCGTTACCGGCCGTCTAGTATAAAGTGAGTATAAACAGTAAACTGTCAGTGTAGAGAATAGAAATCTTGTAGAAATCTTAATAGAAATTATTGTGAGCTGTGATTCTTTTCCCCACACTGAGCCCTTACCTGCTGAAACTCACTTTAACTTTAACTAATTTTTCTGTTTAGATGCAATGTCACACGCACGAGGTTCAATTAGCTTTGCACAAAAATAATACATACCAGGTTGTCAGTAGTTTCACTAACTCTGCCAATAATGCCGATCTACTTATAATACAGTAAGTGTGCACAGACCTAATGGGGATTTCATTTTAACTGAGTGGTTTACTCACTATACTGTGGAACAGCCTCAGCCTGTAACTTCCAGACAGTCTTTAGCCCCACCACTTAATAAAAAAAGAAGTCTCAAATTGCCACACTTCCTCTTTCCACCCACAACATTCCCTTCCTGTTATCTTTCACTCTGCTTTTTCTGCATGAAAATCTAAGACGGGGTGAGTCACGTTTTCTAAGACTTTTGAAAAATCTTGCATTCATCTGGCTTTTAAATGTTTTCTGCTACTCCACAGATATTCTGCCCCCAACAATCTGTGCTGCTGTGGGGAAGCATCCAGTTCAATTAAGTCTTTTTGACCCACAGCCAAGCACTGTGTGTAGTTTCCTGAAAATGGAGGGAACTCAGACAACGACTAGAGAGGAGGGGACAACAGAAAGAAATGGGGATCAGGGGACTAGCAGCAATGTGCCGACGTCCAGCAAACCTCTGCATCGCTTTGTCCGAAAGGAGCCCAGAAGTCTTGGGGTAACACATCAGATAAGCAAAATTTTAAATAAGCAGATTTATGCACGAGGATAGCTATAAGCTGATGCAGCTGTAGACACTCTCATCCATTCTTCCTCTTCCCCTTTCCAGATTGTCATTCTGATGTTTGGCTGTGCTGAGTTGTTAATGGGATATCAGTTCTCCAATGAAGAGTTCACAATCTCTGCTCAACTCTACATTCCCTTTTGGCAGGGAGCTCTGGTACTTACTGTAGCATTTTACTGGCTAGCACTGACATGCTGACAGCTAAAAATGATTGAACTTGACTGCTCATATCTTCTGTGCAGTTATTGTTCAGAAAAGTTCAAAGTACTGCCTGTGCTATACTTTTATATATGAGGCTACAACCATCAGTTTGTTAGGTTAACAGCACAAGCATGACACACAGTCATAATACCAAAAGGTTTAAAAAATGCATCTGGTACAATTGCAATGCTACGTGTTAACTAGATCTTTCCGATGACAAATAAACATCAGCAAGTATTCATAGTTTCCTACAAAAGATGTATTGTATGAAAACAGACTCACCCATATTACTAAATCTACTGTGGGTTAAGGTCAAACAGCATCATTTGTTGTGATTATTTGCTCACTAGTTTCTTACCTGTGGAATCCTGTCAGTCTACACTGAGTTGCATCCGTCCAAGAAGATGGTACGTCATGGTTTTATTTCCTATTTGTGATTTTCAGCCCTGTTTATACTCCTACAGTCCTTACTAATTCAGTGGCCTAATTAATTTTGATTAACTTATCTTTCCCAGGTGACTGTGTGCTTGGCCCTGTATGTGGTTTCCATCTTTGGAATCGTAATCTCTTTCAAATACAGGATAATCCAGCTCATCGCTTATCCCTACTTTTTTTTTTTGCGATTTCATTTGAACAATGCAAGTGTGGTGAGTCACAGTACATATCTATTTTTTGATTATGATTGTTTGACATGCATGTTTTCACAGCATATCAATAACTCTCACTTTCTGTCACTGTAGATGCTGCTGAAAAGTATCGAAGCCATTTTACTGACCTCCTCTATTTGCGCATTAGTGATTCTCATTTTTTTAACCACTGTCGCAGGTTTCGCACTGAAATCCACACGCACTCAGGTAATAGCATATTTTATTTTATTATTATTGACATACAAGCCTTCTGTCTACTTCAAAGAAACATGCCACAGAGTCCGATTTATCCCAGGGATATCTGCTGAAGGACAGTTTTCAATAGCTTTGGTCACTCATCATTTTATTTTTCTTCCACTTTCATGTTTTGTTTTGTTTTTTCAGGTCATCATCCAGCAAATTCCACCACCGAGGACTGAAACACCATCGGACTGAGGACATCTTTTTAAAGTATTATTAAACATTACACGACCTTACTAAAACACACTTGTTGGTCTCTTGTGACACTTGTTCTTGAACTAAAATCATTTATGTCATCACTGTGAGGAAAAACTATCTTAGAAGAACTTTTTCAGGAAGGCAATAACGACTAATCTGTCTGGCAACCCTTGTGTTTCCCTGCTGCACGTCTGCAAATCTCTTCTCATCGACTGAATGTGTTGACCTCGGCCAGATGTCATACACTATATGTTGGACAACATCTGGGCTACGCAACATTTGTTTGTGACAAGTGTCAAAATTCAGTCCAACCATAAAAGTTTTGATTTGTTTTAAAACATACTTGTTAGAAATTCCTTTTTTATTGTTAATATCTGAAAATTTCCTTCCTCATCAGACCTTTAGTCATTTGGAAGCCATGTAGAAAATCTGTTATGCGTGTCATCTTTTCAGAGACGTCCAAACTTTTCCATCTAATTGTATCTGCATTATTATTAGTGTCTTATTAGTAGTGTTTGACTGTCATTAAACAGTGCTTTGTACTCTGTACTGAATGTTTAACTGAAGACATTTTACAATATGACATGTTGTAACTGGATGAGTAAACTATTAGCTTTGACCTCTGGTTACAGAGGGAGCAGGTACGGCACTGTGATCTAAGAAGCCTCGGTATAAACTCTGTTTTTCCTGTTTGCGTAAAATCTTTTTATATTTTGTGCAGTAATTGTGTACTGATTTAAACATAAACTTTTGTTAAGCCAATATAAATATTCTCATTTCATTATGTTAATCTTTGCGTAGATTAGAGCTGTACAAACTCTGTTTTTGCCTTATAAATGATATTTTCATGTGAGTTTGTACATTTCAATAAATTGCTGCATCTCTCTCATTTTCCTACCAAAACTTGAAGTGAGAGGTGGCTCAAGACTTTTGCACAGTACTCTATATGTTTATATGTGTCAGGGAACTCAGTGTGACGAATTAAGTAAGATTAGTAAGAGAGATAGCTTTTAACTCTCAGGGATGGCACAGTGTTTGAGTTTGGGAACTGAAGGGGAGTTTGGACCCGGAAACGGCTAATGACGTCAGATAGTTTGTTTAACCTCCACAGTGGCCATCAAATGTGGAGGTTAAACAAAGTTCGTCACAAAGCAGGACGACAAGGCGACAGCTTGGGGGAATTTCGGCTGAAGAGGCGAGAGAACGAGAGAGATGTGTCTGCTAAATACTGATGCTCAGTTTCCCAAACATACAGTAGATTAACTCAGGTGCACTGTGGCATTTAAACAATATTCAGTTGGTATTAAGGGTGCCAAATAAATATCCCTGACACTATTACAGCCCCAGCGGCAGCCTGAACTACTCATACAAGGCAGGATGTATCACTTTTGTCATGTGTTTTATGCCAAATTCTCATCCTATCATCCAATGTTGCAGCAGAAATTGAGACTCATCAGAACAGTCGATGTTTTACAATTTTCTGTTGTCCCATGTGAATTTTAGCTACAGCTGTTTATTGCCATCTGCTTCAAGGTTTCACGTGTTGTGCGTTCAGAGATGCTCTTTTGCATACCTTGGTTGTCACAGGTGGCTATTTGACGTATTGTGGCCTTCCCATCAGCTCAAACGAGTCTGGCCATTCTCCTCTGACATCTGGCATCAGTAAGACATTTTTCACCCAGAGAACTGCAGCTAACTGGATCCTGGTTTTTTCTCTTTTTCATTTTGATGCTCAGTTTGGACTTCAGCAGGCTGTCTTGACCATGTCTACATGTCTAAAGAACTGAGTTCTTGCTATGTGATGGTCTGATTAGATATTTGTATTGCCAAGCAGTTGAACAAGTGTGCCTGATAAAGTATGAAATAGGCTGTACATAAAGATTAGACTCGACTGGACATTAAAAGTAGGAGTAATCTGCATATGTTTTTTTTTAAACTGCATTACAAAGATGCTGCTCTTTTTTGTGACACCCCAGAGGAACTGAGCAACACATAAACAGTTCGCCCATCAAAACTGAGACGCACTCATGTAGCTTAACATTTGGTCTACATCAGAAACTTTTCTGTAATGCAGGTTTTAATATAAAATCTGTGGAATCTGTGAGGAAAAGAAAAAAAAACTATCTTAGAAGAACTTTTTCAGGAAGATAACCAATCTGTCTGGCAACCGTACACATCGACTGAATGTGTTGAACAAGGCCAGATGTCATGCCGTATATGTTGGACAACATCTGGGCTACCTAGCATTTGTTAGTCACACAACTTGGCTGTAAATGCCAAAATTCAGGACGGTACCTGGGACGGGTATAAACTATAAAAGTTTTGGGTTTTTTAAAAAATAAATAAATAAAAAAACATACTTGTTAAAAACACTTGTTAATATATTCATCAGACCTCTGGTAATTTTGAAAATCTATTATACGTGTCATCTTTTCAGAGATGTCCAAGATTTTGCATCTAATTGTATCTGCATTGTTAACAGTGTCTTATTTGTCTTTGACTATCACTAAACTTTGCTTTGTATTCTGCACTTAAATGTTTAAACCTTTGATTTTATCCCCAATCAACATCTCAGGTGCCCCAGTGTTTTCTGTAGTAGCACATTAAACTTTATGTATTAAGAAACAGGAGTAGGTTTTCTAATATATATGTGCAAGGAATTTACTCCATCAGTGGTGGATACAACTCATGAAGACACTGATATCAAAAACATTTTGGTCTTTTATTTCGGGAGATTTCATTAAGTAGACAAACAGTAGTTGAACATTTTGACAGAAGTCTCCCCCTGGTGTTGGTAATGCAGGGAGGATGGGCACCCAGCAGGAGATTTTCTTGTAGTTATATTTGGTCCATGTGCAATTCTTGATTTGTTTTTCTTGGTTTAGTGTCACAGTATTTAATATACATAGCTGGCAGTGTACAGAGACTGTGTGGAGGCCTGGCCAGCTGCACCGGTGGGCTTGTACTCTCCTTTGGAAGCCAGGCCATTGATCTGAGGGGAAGAGCAGAGGGGAGGAAAAAAAGACAGGACAAAGTCAAATTGGAAAGTTAATTATCAGCCAAGTTACTTGTGTCACATTAGCGTAAGACTAAATAGAATGGGGGGGGGAACCAACAACAATCATTTACTAGACAGTGTAAAGTTGGGCAATGCAAGATAAGCATTATTTGACAGCCAGTTCAGTAAACAGTCCTCAGCAAATTGATAACACTCGTTAATAGTGTCTACCGAGGATCAATACTACTCATTCACCTTGGCTCTGGTGATGAAAGTTTGCTGTGTGGCTGCCTTGTTTTCAGCTTTGCCCTTCCAGGCAGCAAGAGCAGAAGCCTGGAGTGCACGACCGTAAGAGAAGGTCAGCTTCCAAGGACGGTGCAGAGGCACCTGATTGATGGCGTTCAGGTTGACAGAGGCCTCCTCTTCACTCTGCCCTCCGGACAGGAAGCAGATGCCTTTAAAGAAACAAAAAAAATAGTGTCATACTCATAATCAAATGAACTGCTCTGCACCTTCCTTAACTGTAATGTAAAAGCTGTCCTCATGCCACTTACCAGGCACTGAGGCAGGCACGGTCCGCCTCAGAGCAGTCACTGTAGCCATGGCAACTTCCTGAGGGGTGTACTTCTTAGTGCAGGAGTGTCCAGCAGTGACCATGTTGGGCTTCAGCAGAGTGCCCTCCAGGTACACATGGTGGTCAGACAGAGCCTTGTACACTGCAGCCAGGACCTAAAGATGACCCGGCAGATTTATTACTAGACATCCTTCCCATCTTATGTACTGGGAATATCCTTTGCTGCTGGTGGTCTTGCTTACCTTTTCTGTGGCGTACTGGCAACGCTGAAGGTCATGGTCTCCATCAGGCAGGATCTCTGGCTCCACAATGGGCACAAGGCCATTCTGGTGAATACAAGTTCAAATAAATGACTAGAATTTACCCAATTTGTCAGCCTTTTATGTAGAGCAATTTGCTATACACGCACCTGTTGGCAGATACTGGCATATCTGGCGAGGACATTGGCGTTCTCTGCAATGGCAAGAGCTGATGGGCAGCCATCTGAGATCTTGAGCACACACCTCCACTTGGCAAAGTCACAGCCGTCCTTTTTGTACTGGGCACAGCGCTCTGAGAGGCCATCAAGTCCTAGAGAAGCCAAAGAACATTAGCAACCCAGTCTTTGAAAGGCTTATTCTGCATCATTGTGATGAGATTTGCAGAGAAATGCACAAGGTGTTGAATCCGCGTTACCTTGTGTGGTGGTCTCTCCATCTGTTCCCATCAGACCAGCTGTGCCTTTGTCCACCTAAAGCAAGAAAATGCAAACATGTCAGCAAATTCTAAAAAAATCTTTATCTCTGAGATTCAAAGGGTCAGACACTGCTTGCTCCTTACTTTGATGCCAACAACAATGCCCTTTTCCTTGACGAGCTGGGGGAACAGCTTCCCACTGTCTGACTTCTGGTAGAGTGTCTCGTGGAAGAAGATGATGCCACCCACGCAGTTTGAGAAGGAGGCATCAGAGGAGAAGAGGATGTCACGGAAGCTGCGGCGGTTCTCCTCGGTGTTCTCCACGTTGATTTTCTGGAGCCGCTTCGCCATGGTGCCTTTAAAGAGAAACACAACACAGAAAATAATTTCACCTGCATGCACAGCATTTACCTCTCAGCACGGAGTATTAAATAAAAGGGTGGCTCACCTGTTGATTCATCTGCAGCCAGGATTCCCTTTCCTGGAGCCACGATCCTCTGAGCAATGTCAGAGAGCTCCCTCTTCTGCTCCGGAGAAAGGGATGGGAACGGATGAGTCATCCTAAGAGAAATAACAATACAGGTTTTTTGGCAGGTGTTTGGAAAGTCTTCAACCATTAGTGGTACGAGGAAGATTTAATCTTGTTTTCCATCTGACACAAAATCCAACAACATTCTGTTCTCCTTCAACACATCCAAGGTTAAAAATTTGGCTTGAAGGGTTGAACTTTGGCCTACAAAACACAACTGCTCCCTTTCATTGTGCAACATGTGTTCAAAGTTCACCCGCAGTTTTGGTCTAGAAGTTTTTGCAGTACTGTCAGCAAATAATGCATTAAACAGGCCCATGTCATAGCCAATAATCAAGAACATCGCTTGCAAAGAATAAAGTAAGCGATCGTAAAAGACAGGCTGAACTTAGGCGCTTTTCAAATATTTGCGCACATCCAAGCATGCGCTCTGACGGCCATCTGCAGAAAACAGGTTTATGTTTGCCAAGCCTTTCAAAGTAAAATAGCCTCTAATGTATGATGCAAAGGAAAGTGAACTTCCTAAATGAACCGTGTACCGTGTTCACACACAAATTATAGCACATTAAAACTTGCTACTTCAATCAGTAAACCCGCAGAGGCTTACTAATCCAACCAAAAATTCTAGTCTGCAATTTATGACAATCTGCAATATCGCAAGTGTGCAAGAGTAAAACAAAACAACTAGTCTTACTTGACAGTTTTGTTAAACAGCGACGACAACCGACGTGGCAGATAAGCCTCTACAGACCCAAAGCAGCAACGACACTGACACACAAACCGAAAAGTGGCTGAAAGGGGGCATTTAAAGGCTGTCCGGATCCACGGAGTAGGAGGTGCTCGTGATGTGGCGGGGCGTGTGTAACCCGGATAACTGCAATTGGCCCGTTTAGGCCCACACGGGGGCGGTCATTTTTTATGACTATGTTCTTATCGGGTAAGTGGAAAACAACAGGGGAGCGATGTGTGTAATAAAAATCGAGGTCTGCCTGTATGCACGCACCGGCATGCACTCATCACATGATCAAGAGAGGGGCCCCTCTGTCTCTGCTCACAGAGCTGCACACTGACAGATGCTGAAATGCAATGCGAGCCGCTGGCTGCAATGTTGCATTTCAGGTTTGTTTTTGTATTTCCTGGTGAAAATGTGAGTCGCAAAAGCATTCGATGAACCCTTCAGTTCTTTTTTTTTGCGCGAATTTCTACATTTCTGCACGTTTATGTCTGAAGAGAGGTGTGTGTGTGTGTGTGTGTGTGTGTGTGTGTGTGTGTGTGTGTGTGTGTGTGTGTGTGTGTGTGTGTGTGTGTGTGTGTGTGTGTGTG